CAGAATGATGTGAGCTAATAGATAGAGGTTCACAAATAATTGCCGGTCTGGTAAGTTCGTTAGGCTAGGTAGATAAACTAGGTCCTTGAACTGTACAGTACTAGATGTGCGTATACAGTGACATTCATGCCGTTCTGTATGTTATCCACCCACCAGGCTTAAGTTGACTATTATGAAAAAACAGGCTGGATCTTCCCACAGTTCCTCAAAGCTAACCGCTCAGCCATCAGCACTTCGTACACATGTCTGACCCACCCGCAGCAGATCTTCCTTGTATCCTTGGGATCGACAATCTCCTGCACCCCAAACGCATTGGCCGTCCGCACGGGATTCATCAGCCGCAGATATTCCTCCTCCAACTCCTTATACCGTGCAGCCTTGCCCTCTTTCCCACCCCGTTGCTCAGCCTCTCGCAGTTCCTGGCGATGGCCCACCTCGATTCCCCCGTCCAGCGGCAGAGACCCCCACTGCCCGGACGGCCAGGCAACCTGAACAACGGGGTCCCGCGCACCGAGCATGATCCCGCCTGCGACGCCATACGCACGCCTTGTAATCACGTTGAAGATAGGAGTCGTCGTGGCAAAGTAGGTTTTGGCCAGCTCGACGCCCCAGCGCATCGTGGCGTTGCGTTCGGCGACGGTCCCAATCGCATATCCAGCTACACATTAGCACTTAGCATCGTCACTTTTGTTGCCGTTCCAAGGGGACAACATACGGACGTCGACGAACTGCACAATCGGCAGATTCATCACATCGCACAGCTTCAGCAGCCGCGCCAGCTTCTGGCTCCCGGCCGCATCCAGCGCACCCCCGTTCACCTCGCAGTTATTCGCGATGATCCCCACCGGCCGCCCACCCAGTCTCGCCAGCCCCCCAATCGCCGTGCGGCCCCATAAACCCCCGATCTCAAACCACGAGCCCGCGTCCACCACACTCCGGATGATCGTGTAGGGGTTGTACATCCTCGCCGCACGGCGAGGGATCACACCCCGCAACGTGACGTCCTCTCTGTCCACTGGGTCCTCGCACTTCACGACGGGAGGCGCCTCGCCACCATGGTTAGGCAGGAACCCGAGCACTGTCCGCAACTGCTCGAAGCAGTCCGCTTCATTGGCGGCAAGGTTGTCGATCGTCCCGTTGGTGCAGTGTACCATGGGCCCGCCCAGGTCCTGAAAGTCCAGTCCTTCCTCGAAGGTGGCGTTGGCGACGACCTCCGGGCCGGCATTGAACAGCGCGCCTATATCCGCCGCCATGACGGAGAAATGGCACGAGACGACGCGCGCTGCGCCGAGACCAATCTATCATCATTAGTTCAGCCCGAAGCACATGCAGAAAGGGAAGGGGGGGAGGTACAGCGGGTCCAACGACGGCCCCCAGATTCGGAATGCCCTTGTTCAGCTGCTCGACGACCTGCGCGTACATGCGCACGTAGGGGAGATAGCTCCACCCTCCTTTGCGGATGGTGGTCACGCTGCCGCCGCCGGAGCTGCCGTCGACGAGCTTGATGACGGGCAGTTTGAGCGCGATGGCTAGCTTCTCCGCGTAGATTGTCCTGTCGGCCGTTGAGCCGTCTGCGTGTCCGCTGCGGATGCTAAAGTCGTCGGCTGTGAGGAGGACGCGCCGGCCTTTGAGCTTCCCGAAGCCTTGGACATTGTTGCTCGGCGTGAAGGACTCGGGAACTTCGGTGGTGGGACCTGTGGGTTTCCAGGTGACGGTGCCGGAGACGGAGCCGATTTCTTCAAAGGAATTGGGGTCGAGGAGTTGGGTGATGCGCTCGCGGACCCAGAGCTTGCCTGCTTGTTTTTGGCGTGCGTAGCCGCGGTGAGAGGGGTTGGGGGTTGCGGCGATTTCTTTGAGGGTGTTGATGGTGGAGAGGACGTCGGAGTAGTCTGCCGGCAGTTTGGCTGCTGATAAGTGGGAGGAGAGTTGATTGAGACGTTTGGCGGCTGTGTCGTCTTTCATTTTGTAGATTCTTTCAATGCTTGAATATATTGATACTCTGCAAGATGCTGGATTGTATATAAGAATGCGGGGAACCTCGGCTCTCGGTTCCCCGCATCATTCCCCATATCTATATCTAGACTTGGATGTACAGGACACCACCAATCGATGCATCAATCCATAATGAAAAAACTCCTGATAGCCAACAGAGGCGAGATTGCAGTGCGCATCTTGCAAGCTGCCCGCGAGCTTTCACCCCCGATCCAAACTGTCGCCCTGTCGACCCCGAACGACACATCGCACTGTCTCCTCGGTTACCCAGACGAGACCGTCTCGCTCCCTTCTGCAGCCTCCTACCTCAATATATCCTTGCTTGCGCAGATCTGCCAAGAACATGCCATTGACACCGTCCACCCAGGGTACGGCTTCCTCAGCGAATCCGCCGAGTTCGCCCGCCGCATGCACCAAATCGGCGTGACTGTCATCGGGCCGGGGGCTGAAATCCTCGAGCGAACAGGCGATAAACTGCAAGCCAAAGCGCTCGCTGCGTCCTGCGGGGTACCAGCCCTCCCGTCTCACTCCGCGCAATCTCTCGACGAGATCCGCGCGTTCGTCGAGAAAGTCGGGTACCCCGTTATGATCAAAGCAGTGGACGGGGGAGGCGGACGGGGAATCCGGCTGATCCACCGGCACCAAGCATCCGAGCTGGCAAATCTAGTGGCCAGAGCCCGGAGCGAATCCCCCTCGCAGACCGTCTTTGTCGAAAAGGCCGCCGTGGACGGCTTCCACCACGTCGAGGTGCAGGTCCTCGGCGACGGGACAGGGACCGTCCATCACCTGCACGAACGAGACTGCAGTGTGCAGCGGCGGTTTCAGAAGATTGTCGAGTGTGCCCCGTCCCTTCTGGACCGGTCTATCATAGAAAAAGTGATCGAGGCGGCGCTGCGCATCGCCCGCACCATTCGCTACCGATCACTCGGCACGTTCGAGTTCCTCGTCAGCGAGACCACGCCCGAATTCTACTTCCTCGAGATCAACCCCCGACTGCAGGTCGAGCACACCATCACCGAGGCAGTGACAGGGGTTGACCTTGTGCAGGCGCAGCTGCGGTTAGCGCGGGGAGAATCTCTCCAGGAAATCCTGACGGAGCCTGTGCCGAGACCCTCAGCACGATCCATCCAGCTCCGTCTCTGCGCCGAAGACCCCAGCGCCAACTTCGCGCTGAGCATCGGCAAAATCACCGACTTCTTCGTGCCACCCGGCCACGGCGTCCGCGTCGACACACACCTCGCGCCTCCAGTAACTGTAGCCTCGGACTTTGACAACCTCCTCGCGAAAATCATCGTCACAGCCTCCAGCTGGGAGTCCGCTGTACGGAAGGCGCGGCGCGTGCTGAGCGACACCCGCGTCGAAGGCGTCAGGACGAACCTCGCCCTCCTCCGAGGGATTGTCGCAACCGAGGACTTTCTAGCGGGGAGGGTGGACACGCAGTGGCTGGAGAGGAATCTCCCGTCTGTCCTGGGAACAGGTGAACGCATCTCTGCGTCTCTTCCTTCGTCGCACCAACCGTCCAAACCGGCGCTGCAGCTGCCAACATCCTCGCTCCTCTTCCGCCGCGGCGACGCATGGAGCATCTCCCTCTCCCCGCTAACCTCAACCTCAACCCCGACCTCAAAAGACCAGCCCGAAACCCGGCACCACCTACGTCTCTCCCGCGTACTCCGCAATGACTTCCCCTCCTCCCTAACCGCCGAGATAGAGTACACCACGCCCGCGGCCTCCACTCCATACAAACTACACCTCGCAGCCACAGGCGCAAACACAGCAGCCAGCGCCCTCGTCTCGGGCCATCGCCGCGGCGACCCGTCCAACCCGCGGCATATCGTGCTGCCGCTGTCGGGGAAGCTGATCGAGGTGCTGGTTCGGCGTGGCGAGACCATTGCCAAGGACCAGGTTGTTGCGTTTGTCAAGCAGATGAAGATGGAGCTGGAGGTGCGGAGTCCGCGCGCGGGACGCGCAAAGTGGGTGTTTGGGGTTCAGGACGGGGAGGACGATGTAGTCGAGGGGATGTTGCTTGTTGAACTTGAACTTGATGCTCTCTCAGTAGCTGTTCCTGAGAAGGGGAAGCTCTGATGGTAGGTTAGTGTCCTGGACATAGATAATAGAGATCAATCCATTGAGCTTAAACCTAGAGGTAGCCATCCGATCGTTCCATTCTCGATCTCCACTGTATCAGGGTTGAATAATTGTACCTGGACATTTAGTACGACTACGATGCGCTTGGCGTCCAAATCGTCCCCGATGATGTATCAAGTCGGATGGACATCAATCTGATTTCCCGCACACTAAGCTATGCATTCTGGGCATAGGCCTGTTATATAACTTCTCTGTGGCTATGTACTCAGTACTTGAATGCCAAGGCATACTATTACTATCTAAAAGTAGACTGCATGAAATGGCCAGTAGATAAGTTCGTATAGTCTGATCTGATCCTTGAATCCCTGATCTTTCTCTCCACTTTTAATCTATATCAAAGGATCAGGTATATTGCATCATAGGACTAGTCACATCAGTATCCCTAGTTAGCTATCAGCCTGGTAAGCATATCCTTGTGAAGCTATCCAGTCATTCCTTGGCTTAGTGCGGGGATGTACTCTAGATATAGCTGCCTAAGTCCATTGACCACCATTTAGTAACATATTCAGTCTATCCATTTGACTGTCCAGCTTGTTCCTTTATTCCATCGATATTGGACCTAGAATGCTATCTGAATTCTGGTGAGACCCCCTGTTCAGGATAAAGGCTGATGCATGTAACTAATAAGCAAGAATCCCCGTCTATTCAGTGAGTCGTATCCTGTAGTTTTCTAATAAAGACATGTCTTAACAGAATGGGAAGCCCTTCTTCGGTGCCCAGGATGCACAAGCGCCATCGTCTTCACGGCCTGTGGTGCCGCCTACGGGACTGCAAAGGCCGGCGTGGGCGTTTGCTCCTCGGGGGTCCTCCGGCCTGATCTCATAGTTAAGAGTATGCATTGGGAGGTGTTTCTTGCGGCAACAATGGTGATATGGCTAGACATCGTACCCATCGTCATGGCCGGTATTCTCGGAATCTACGGCCTAGTTGTCTCTGTTCTCATTGCCAACACCCTCTCCCAAAAGGCGGCTCTCTACACCAGTCTTGTCCAGCTGGGTGCAGGTCTCTCGGTTGGATTATGTGGGCTGGCTGCTGGGTATGCATCGCAGATCTTTGTTGAGGCTCAACTAAACTGGACAGCTTTGCGATTGGAATCGTGGGCGATGCGGGCGTCAGAGGAACGGCGCAGCAGCCTCGGCTTTACGTAGGCATGATCCTTATTCTGATCTTTGCTGAGGTCTTGGGTAAGATTCTTGTCTCTGATTTAGGTTCCAAGACTGATGCAGTAGAAAGGCCTGTATGGCTTGATTGTGGCTCTTTTGATGAACTCCAGGGCAGCACAGCTAGAGCATAAATGTAGCTGACTGCAGATGCGGTTTGAGTTAGAGGTAGGACGAATGAGAAGGCTTAAATATGTACGAAGAATTGTATGTATCTAACCTTTCCAGTATGAGCCAAGGACTACATGCCGAAGCAACTGGGATATCTAGCAATATACAGACACAGCGGCATACAATACATCGTGACAGTCGGTATCGGGCACTCTGAAACTCAACCCCAAGCATTCGCCGCCGCTCCATGTTGTGATTATACAGCTACTGTAAGTTATTAGCATAGGGATGCATGGAGGTTATTCTGCAATCACATACCTATTGTCACGCACTCGAATGGACCGCTTGTTGGAGGGAACGGGGACGCATCGTTGGGAGCCCGTGCTAGTAATGGCAAAAGAATCGTCCGTGCCGCCGCAGCTGTCGGTTTCGTACATGTCAAATACGGCTAAGTGGGTGGTCCCGTTATTTGCTGACTGGTTATTACTGTTACTCGAGGTGGTGGAAGAGGCAGGATTCGTCGTAGTAGATGTCGGGTTGTTGGAGGTGGTGGAGGGAGTTGTAGTACTGCTGCCGTTTGTTGACGATGCTGTTGGTGATGATGATGACAAGGCCGAGTCGCTGTCATTTTCAGCTTAGTCTCATCAATCCAGCCAACATTCTTGAGTAGGAGAACACTACCTTTGTGCATTATCATTCTTATGGGCAGCGCGGCTGCCCAAAACACCCCCTACCACAGCCGCGACCACGACGATCACAAATACCCCCAAACCGACGACAATCCACCTCCATCGCGTTTTCTTTTTTGGCTCCGCTGCATCACCGGCTGTGAATGGTGGGCCTGTTTCTGTGGTCCATTGCGTCTGGCCATCTTTATCAACGGAATATTTTTCGTTGTGCCCTGGCGGGAAAGGTGAAGGCTGCGGTGGATGGACCACAAACTGCGGGGCGCTATTGGGGTCTTCTTCGAGATAGTGACGCTCCTAGATCGTAGAAGTCAGTCACTGGCCTGTGCTGTAAGCCGGAGAGACTGACCATCTGAAGGCTTTTTGTCGATATCAGCCAGGGATGACACGCCGGGGATTTGCGGGCAGGGGAATGGCCATAATATGCCAGAGAGGAGATGATCAAATATTTAACCCAGCAGCGCCCAGTTCATCTGTCGACAGCCGGGCTCTCTTTAGAGGGTTGCTCCCTGCCTGATCAAGTATAGCAGCAAGTTATGGACCCATCCTGTAGATATCTTAGCTCCTTCTGCTCCCGAACCAGCCAATATGATTAGTATTCCTGTTGATTGCGCTCCACAGTAAGCTTGAAAATCTACACTAGACTACAAGGTCGGCGCCACTTCTACCAATGCCCGCACTCCTTGGCAGTTGGCGCTGGAGCACTCTTTGCAGATCTGTATGGGATAGAGGCTTAGCGCCGCAGTGAACATAGGATCAGGCTACGTAGGTAAATATACCTAGCAAGAGGAAATCAGTCATTAGAGTCATTAGATGCAGTAAAGGTGAAGGCAAGCCAGTCAGTTTACAATAGGCTCAAAAGAAAGGAGGCACCAGGAGCAGTGGTGGAAATCACGTCCAGAGTTGGCTGGAGCCAGTAAACACCTACATGCAATCAGAGCTCATTGTTCAGAAATGTAGCTCTTTTCTGATAGTCAAGGACAGCAGGGTCCACATGCTTCACAATATGCACGACTATTTTGCTAATGGTGAAATTAGCCATTGTCATATCAACCTGGACAGATATTCCATTAATGCCAGGTCCAAGACTGAGACAAATATCTACGATCTCCATCCAGGCGTTCAGTCCAAGGTCATCATGGTGCCGGAGAAAGACCCATTGGGTCCACTGAGATACTCATGCGAGTTTTGGGTTAAACATCTGTGCAAGAATGGGAATCAAGCATTGGACAATGGGGGCTAAGTGGACGCACTACGGTAGTCACACTATGGGATGCTGTTACCGGGTGCTGTACCCAGTCACTCAACCTCAAGAAGAAGGGTTAGGCTGACATATCCGCGGCCTTTTCATCGGATAGCAAAGTTCTCGCTGCCACCTCTGGCGGCATAGTGCAGCTCCGGGGTGTTTTCACGGAGGCGTGCAGGCAAAGGTTCGAGATAGCTGACGATGACACTGCCATATCTTTAGCAATCTCACCGGACGATGACATTCTGGCATTTGCGCGGAGGAGAGGGTGCAACTCTGGTCAGTCGCCTACTCACCGGACGGCAAGACCCTTGCTTCGGCTTCATCTGACAAGACAGTAAAGGTCCGGGATTGACAGTCGGAGCCTCCCAGCATACCTTTCACAAAGACGAAGGCAGTACTCCCCTCGTTTTGGTCTTTTCGCCTGATACAAGCGCCTGGCTATGGTCAATGATGTAGCACCCATCCTTGTGGGATATGCCAATCGGCACCCGCACACAGATACTCGGCGCCGACGGTTTATCTCAGCCGCAGCCTTCTCATCTGATGGTAAACCTATCGTTGTACCTCGCTGTCCGGAAAAGTGCATCTGCTGGATCTCGCGACTGGTACCTCCAGCAAGGCTTTCACCCTCGGCGGATTCCCACCGCCGTGGCCGTCTCGCCGGACAACAGTCGTATTGTGTCGGCTTCAGAAGATGGCAGTGCGACTGTGGGATGGGAACAGCATTGAGGAAATCTCTTCGTGAACATGATCAACTCATCTCGGCGATGAAACAAGCCAAACGGAAGGACCCTCGGCACAGGATCGCTAGACAAGACCGTGAAGTTGTAGACTCCACCGCGAGTATCTGCAGAGAGACACTCCAGGGCCATACAGGCTATGTGTCCCCTATTGATTCTCCCCAGACAGCAAACCATCGCCTCGACTGCACAGCCCGGATGAGGGTCCTCGCGCAGGTGCTTGCAAGTAGGCCATGGGCTGTACGCAGACTTTGGGAAACGACAGACCAGCCCAAATCGATCCTTTCGCTAGCCCTCTGCTTCGATTATAGCATGATTCTCATCGGCACGGTCTGGGACGGGGCCCTCTGCACGATTCTTCAACCAGACATGCAAATTGAACATGCGGTCTCCCGGCCAGCAGCCAATTCCCCACGGCCATTTCCCCAGACGGCAAAACCATCGCCTTGGGCACAACCACTGAGGTGGAGCTCTGGGACTGCCAGCAAACCATCAAAAGTGAAGTCCAGTGTATGTGACTATCATTTTCCGACGACGGTGATCCTTGAAGACAATCCAGGGATTGTATTCGCCGACAGTTGCCGTTGTGGCTCCATCCCCTACGCGGACCTGCATAGGGACCCGATATGGGTGAGGAGAGGGGACAGAAAAGCTGCTTTATCTGCCACCCGAATACGGGGTCTGGACCCGAATACGATTGCGTTTGCGGGCGCCAGTGGTCAAGTTATTTTCTTGGCCTGTCTAGCTGAAATAGATGTAGTTACATTCAATTTTCTGGGGCAACTTGGCAAGAGGGATGACTCATACTGCAAGATGGAACTTTGCCTGGAATTGGAAGAGCTTGCCGTGAGGGTTAACCATTGTTTGAGGAAATCCTCTTCCAGTTCTTGTATAGTATCTACTAAATCCCTTCTAGTAGAACATTGCGTGCAGACAAGTCCTAGTCAACTTATCATCCATCTACTTTTGTAGTCATAGGCTAGCTGAGAGGGTAATAAGAATGCACTAGGTATGCAGTAGCTGTAAATACAAAATGAAGTTCATGCTTAAGTTGGCCGTATGAGCTAGACATACTTCTATCACCTACTACTCCCACACGGAAGCTATTAAATAAAGTAGAAGTCATGGAATGTGATGGTTTATTACTATCAAGATGGAGCCATCAACACGCCAGACGATTATAGTACTATCTCTATAATAAATAGCTATAGAGATAAAGAAGAAGACCCTGAAACAAATCCAATGATGAATCCCACCAATTCACGCCCCCAATCCATGTCTCAGATAACCCCCAAATATAGCCCTTCTTTTTTCCTCTATCTACAGATCCAACTAACTGCAAAAGTGAAATACTAGTGAAACCCCTAATCTAATCCTCGTTACGGTATTGCCAAGCCGCTCCACTGCTAGTTCACTTAGCTCGGTTTCAGGCACCCAAGTTTCGGAATTGGATCCACAGATGTCTGTCTGTTTGGCTTGCTGGCTTGCTGGCTTTGCTGGGATTTGTCCGATGTTCGAGAAGGATTTGGTTAAGTTAAAGATATTGGCATCGTGCTAAGATATTCTGAGATTGCGAGGATGGTGTATTGGGTATACTGCGATACACGAAAACATAACGAAATTGGACATCAAGTTAAACAGGGTATGGTATGTGCAGACAAATATCAAAAAAAGAAGTGATGAAGAAATAGTAAGGAGGGAATAATCAGATAACCGCCTGCGCCTTGCGACTGGAGTCCAGTCGGTGTCCACCACCGCCAGTGCGGTCTATTCTATTTTCCAATTCAATGAGATCAAAGGAGTGTGTGTCGCCTTTCAATAAGGAGAGGATTGATCGGCCAGCCGAGGCGATCGCTCGCGCCCTAGACAAAGCCCGCAGATCGCCATCGCGACTCGTATCGTAGACGGCTGTAGTGTAGTGTATATGTAGTGTAGGAACTCCGGAAATGCATGAGGAAGCCTCCCCGCGGAAGAGAATCCGAGTCCCGGCCGGCGGGACAGTCATCGAGTCGTGGATTCTTTTGATTTGCTTTTCATTCTCGCATCGCATCACAGGTCCTGGACGATGGCTCGGTAAGGCGAGTCGTTCAGGAGCTCTGATGGTAGGGCTCGTCGGTAGTCTCTGGGTTGTGCAAAGGGTGATGAAGATCCTGAGGGCCGCCGGAGTTTAAGTGACTATGCATTGTTAGTATTCAACCTGAAGCTGTACGGGGTAGATGATGATGCATACCACACAATCAGGGCATTTTCCTCCATCGATATTGGCGCGGCCACGGCACCCGCGAGGATAGTTGGCGCAGGAGAACATGTTGATGTCGATGTTGGTCGAGTGGTCACGATATCGAGAACGAGTGTTGACAGCAGTGAAAGGATTTAGGAGTCGCAGAGAGAAATAGATGTTTTGTTATCCTTGTTGTTGCCCCTTTCTCCTCCACTAAATTTTTTTTCCTCTCTGCTGGTTTTAGCTTTTTCCCTTTTTCCTTTCTAGGGCTGAAATTGGGCGTCAAAGGAAAAGCTCCAGTGTGGATTTGTCGCAATAGAAAGAGAGTCGAGTCGAGAAGCCGGAAAATAAGGTAATAATAATAATAGTAATACCTCCCAAAATACTAAACGAAGAAAAAAAGAAAAACCAAGCCACACGGCGCAGGCTGACGTCAAAAACACCGAGAGTGTCTTGCAGAGGAGTCTAGTATGGCAGCTAAAGCACGCTTGCGAGGCCTGGTCGATGGTCTAGCTCAGCCACAATATTAGCTTAGTAGCAAGAAAGACGAACAAAATGAGTGAAGAAGCGAGTCCAGCTGCCAGGGAAAAAAGGTTCAGAAGTAGGTCGAAGGTAAAAGGGGTTTATATACCTAATATGTACATTGTAGCGAGATAGGTACTATGAAGACTGGATGGAGAACTCGGAAAGTAAAAATCCTTTATTTTGCATTGCCTCAGTATTATGACACTTGATGAATCTGATCCATCTGTAGATTAAGCCAATCAATCTACGCACCGATTCAACGGCTCGTCTGACAGTCTGGCAGTCTGACAGCTCTCTGACAGGCAACGCTGGGCATCACCGTCTATTTTACTCTGGTCATGACTGTTCTTGAAGGCTCATCTGCCTCTTCCGGCTGGCCAGGCAGATTAATTATGTGATATTAGGTGATGTTAATATAATAGTTGGCAATGTGGCATAGATAATATAGTGATCTACACAGACATCGGTGCATGCACCTGCATACACCAATGACTCGCAGTGTTTAGACAGCAATGAAACTACCATTAAGACAACCTTTCATATTTCAATCCTACAGCCTCACTCTATCTACTCTACTCAGCCATGCGCGATAAGCACTGTCAAATCATCCATCTTGAACAGAATCCAGACCAACATCAACAGTCGCAAATTGCAGATCCACCGGCCCCCACCGTTTCACATAGACATGGTCCTTGTACCTGAACCATATTAACCCGGTCTCAAAGCCAGGTCTCACCAGCAAACTCTGAATTTTTGAACCTTCTGGAAGCTCTGGATTCTGGAAATTGGGAAGATGGAGTCTGGATCTAGATCGGGGCCTTGACCTTGGCTCCACTATGACTGTTGCAACTTGCCTCGGCGGATTTGACACGGAACACGAGGAATCTCCAGCCTCACACAATCATATGACACTCGTCCATACGAGTACGAGCGAGATTTTCCCCTTTGCGACAGAATCGGAGATAGATTGGTTTCATGAGACGAGGCGGAGCTTTACCTTGGACGAACTAGTTTTAATTACTGGTGGTTAGCCGGAGCCGACTGGCGAGATTTGATGACTAGTGGGACGGGCAAATCTCTGCTTTTCGATTGTTGAGTACCTCTCTCTTGGATTAATATCAGTGTTTGTTCATGGATTGATCTATAGCTTCATTAGATTTATTCTATGATGACTCTGTAGATGCTGTAGTTGTAGATATATGATTGAGGAACACGGCTCGTTGATCTTTCCCTCTTGGTCATCGTATACAGCCTCCACTGGATCATTAGACTTCTCTCGGCCTTTATTCCAGGCTGTTCTAGATCCTTGCAGGCTCAGGTGACCATGCAGACATTATTGTTAGTACGGTGTCGGAGACCCTAGTGCTTGGATCTGCAATTACTACTTGTGACTGCGACTTGTGAGAAATTGACAAGTGCTGGGCAGATGCCTCGTCAGCAGGTGATGCAGCGGACCCGCTTCGGGAGATATTCTAGAACTCTAGAAGCATGCTGCGGAGCGGCTTCTCGACTTGCAATTCAATCAATGCGGCTACTGGATCATACAGCCGCTGTGTCACCGTCTGGCGCTGTGGCCTAGACATCGGGATCGACATGGGCTGTCCCGAGATCGCGATCTTGAAACAGCATGCCTGCACGTCTGATACAAGGCCACTGCAGGTCATATCGAACGCAGTCAAACGCTGAGCATCGATCGCAGCACGAACCACGCCCCCAACCCGCCAATGACCATGCCCACCAGGATCCGACGGCCCTCCCAGGTCAACCCTAGATACGCCAATCCACCCACCACCAGCTCTTTGCGTCGGGCCTCCTCTCGTTTGCGTTTCCAATCCCGGTCGATCGGAAACGGAGCCGCCGGCTGTTGCTGCGGCTGCTGCACGTCTGTCGCAGGTGCAGATTCTGAATCTGATGGTCCGGCCTGGACCGATCGCAGGACCACCGCCGCCGCCAGCGCAACGGCACGATGGTCCGACGTCGGAAACAGAGGCAGCACGTCGTATCGGCAAGGCGTAACCGTCGCCGTCGCCGGCCCTCCAGCAGAAGGATCTAGATACAAGATCCGGTCGCACCAGCTCGGCCAACGACTGTGGACAAACTTCCATTGGCGCGGATCCCGCGCCCCAAGCTTGTACTTGTACGTCGGCGGGAAGGAGATCGGCGCTTCAGTCAGGCCCTGGAAACACCGGTCCTTTTCCCGTTCACGCGTGAGCTGGTCGTCGCGCAGCAGCCGCGAGTAATGCAGCGGGCTGCTCTCGTCCGCATCCAGCTGCGGGAATCGTGCGAAATCCGCCGTCTGCGGCAGCGTGTTGGACGTGCGGTAGTTGAGGTCGCCCGCGAGAAAGAGGTAGCCTGCCGTAAACACGCCCTCCGCTTCGCCCTCCCGGTCACCCTCCCCAGTCGACGAACCAAGCAAAGCCGCGCGCTCCGAATCCTCCTCGTGGTTTGTGGTTGTAGTTGTAAAAACCAACCGCTCCACGATCCCCCTCCAATCCTCATTCCGCCGCTCAACCGCATCCTCCGCAGGCGCAAGGTGCGCCGCAACAAACGTCAGCGGCACCGTCCCCGTCCCCGTCCCGGACTCCAACGACCACCCCAGCCTCGCCCCAACAGCCCCCTTATTCCCCATCTGCTGCAAGCCCAGCCCGACCCCCGCGGTCTGCACCGACGCGATCCGCCCCGCGACGTCCGACCGCGCAAACACCATCAACCCCGTCATCCCTACGTGGTCCTCCGACACAGTGACATACTGCGCATCCTCCCAGCGCCTTGCCGCCGCTCGATCAACAACCTGCCGGAACGAGGTAAAGTAGGGGGTGAGGTAGGAGCCGCCGAGGAAGGCGTAGGCGATCGGGGCGAGTTCCTGGAGACTGAGGGCGATGAGATCCGGTGCGGAGGTGACGGTGTGGGGAAGGGCGTGGAAGAAGTGGGCGGCGAAGAGGTCGATGTCGACGGGGTTGCGGGCGCAATTGAAGGTGAGGATGTAGAGGGTGAGTTTGTCCATTCCTGCTATCTAGATTGCATAGTATATGCCAAAGTTTAGGTTGGAGTTAAAGGAACTGGGTTGTTCCTCTGGGTAATTAGTGGTTGCTTGCTGATGGTCGGTGACGTCGCTGACAGTGTACGGGGTAGCGGTCGGTGTCCACGTGGTTCTGTCCGTGATTACGGAGTACACTTATTGGCATGTCTGCAATTGGCCCAGGCAAAAAGATAAGGTACCTGACTGAAAGAGTAAAAAAGCATGTGGAAAAGATTGCATCATCCGTGAATCGAACACGGGCCTCGTCGATGGCAACGACGAATTCTACCACTTGACCAATGATGCTAGTTGTGATTGACAGCCAAATTTGGCTTTATAAACCAATCCCAAGCCGAGTATAAGGGCATGAGTGATTCATCAATTGAGTACAAGAACCACGAAATATTTGTCCGATGTCTGAATTAATGCTAAAAATCGAATGAAAAATCGCTATCTGACAAACGCTATGCATAGTCTAATGCAGATTACAACGAAAACAACCCAGTTCTCCGCTTGCCAGAAGGATAAACAACCAACGCCGCAATAAACAACCCAACAGTAATGCCGATGGCGGTCTGGATCATACCATAGCCCAGACTAGTCAACGAGGTTCCCGATGCACCACCCGATGCATCGGCCGTTCCACTGCGGACCGCATCCGAGTACTCAATCGCCGACAGGATCGAGCCGGACGAGGCCAGACCCGACGGCACCATGGTGAAAATACCAGGAATGGTCGAGCTCACCGCGTTGCCGTGCCAGAGCCGACTGTACAAGTTCGCCAGCAGGCCGATGGTGAATGCGCCGACGGTATTGGCGACCTGCGACGAGGAGCCGAGCTTCTGGGTGCTGAAATAGTTGGTGATGTAGCCTGAGGTGCCGATTAAGACCATCATGGGAATCTGTCGGAACTTGGCCTGGTTGATCAGCGCAGCGATGACGCAGTACGCGGCGACGAAGGGGAAATGAGAGGCGTATGGGCTGCCCCAGACAGACTGCCGGGCGCAGGTGGTGTCGCTGGTTGCGTTGGAGTCGATGGCGCCGTAGATGGTGGTTCCGACTGTGACGCCGTACCCAAGGAAGAGGGAGTAGAGGATGGTGTACACGAGACGGATCGAGCCGGCGATCATCTGATGCGACTGGAGCTCCAGGCTGCTCGTCAACACGGAGAAACCGGGCAGGATGAGGGCGATAGAGGACTGGGTGATGGTGGCGTAGCAGAAGACCGGGTCCGAGGTGCCTGGGTACCGGATACTGCCAAAGGCGCGGGCTAGGAAGGAAACCAGGATGGCCGCCGTGACCTCGAAGACGTTGGAGTAGAGGGCGGAAAGCGGAGCGAGAACCAGCTGCATGAACCCGACACAGCATCCCAGCACGAAAATGATGGGCATGTCGATCGGGCGCGCTGAGAAGCCAAACGGGCCGACGGCGGCCGAGCCCACGCCGTAGAGCAGGATCACCATCCAGCGCGGATACCGCGGCTTGCGGTCCATGATCTCCGTCAGCTCGCCGATGGCCGTCTGCATGTCCGTCATGTCGTGCGTCACCCGCTTGTAACACCCGTGGACCTCTTCCAAACGGCCCAGGTCCAGCCCCTGTGGAACCCGGACCAGCTTGACCTCGGCGGTGCGAGTGTATGGATCATCAAACGACATGATCATGCAGCCGGGAAGGTACATGAACTGCGCCTCGATGTCCAGCACGCGAGCCGTCATCTGCATGTACTCTTCCAGCCGGTGGGTGGGAGCACCGTATCGCATGAACGCACGGCACAGTTGCATGATGTAGCGTTGACGGACGATGATGTCCGCGATGTGATACCGCAGCTTCACCTCGTCGTCGTTCCTCCTCTTCTTCTTCTTGTTGGCCTTGGCGCCCTTGGTGCCGTTTTTGATCTCCGGCGGTGGTACGTTGGCATTGGCCCAGGCCGACGCGGAGCCGATACGGCCCATATTCATCGACGCATGGATCAACGAGGCGGTCGAGCTGTTTCTGGACTTTTTGTACCATGCTTGCGGCTTCTGTCGGGGAGGCGGAGGGCTCGAGGCGGAATGGGGCACGCCTGGAGAGGGAGTCACCGTGCCGGACAGTGTAGGTGTGGATTCGACGTCGGACTCGGGGGCAGAATACATGCTGTTGGTGCGCGAATACTCCATCTGGCTCGCCTGGAGCCGGAGCAGAGCCGACAGCACCCCTCCTCCCAGTAGCGGCGGGGGTGCATTGCCATTGGCCTCGACGTCTGTCGCAGCACGATCAGCCAGCGTCGTGGCATCCGATTCGGGAAACGAGCTCTCCTTTTCGTTCGTCTCTGCGTACGGTCTGCGATGGCGCATCTCTGCCAGACCAAAGCCCTGCATCAGCTCCTGAGCTTCGGCATCCACCGCCATTTGCAGCTTGGTCTGATCGGAGAGTCCCGAATCCTTGTTGTTTCGGAAGATGGCCGCCAATTTCTCGTCGTCCCGCGAGCCCAGCTCTTCCATCGGGACCAATGAGGAACCCAGTCCGTTCGCATCCTGTCCCTCAGGCCGGCCTAGCCTGTCTGCCAGCCGCCCGGTTTTCTCTCTGACTGATCGGCTAGCCTGCAGCCACCGATCTCGACTGAAGACAGACGACGATGTGGTGGACCGAACATCCTGATGCGAATCTTCGCGATGGCCCTCCCGACTCTGGCTTTCCTGGGTGGACGTCTTGCGATGCGCTTCATGGATGGGAGTTTCGGGTTGCTCCTCTAACGGCGGTAGGTTTCCTGGTAGCTCAGTAGGAGAATCTCCCGACTGACCGGTGTCGGTTCCATCGGCTCGAGGTGTTTCTGCACTCATGTTGACGGGGGATAAGCGACGGATAAAGCTCTAGTGGGGAATCAAGCACGACAGGTCAGTAGATGCCTGATGACTCGATCCAGGGCATCTTCAGAGATGTCAGATATGGAGAAACGGGGTAGTCATGAAGACAGAGCAAATAAAGAGGACATAGGAGGCCTTCTCTCCTTTCTCGTCTCCTTTTTTCTTCTTGTCGCGGTAGCAAGTGGGACTCGAAAGGAGGTCATAACGGAGGATTTATTATTTAAGAGCACGGGACAAAACGACCGGTTCATGGGTTTACTGCTTAGTGTGTATTAGTGTGTATCCTTCTCCTGTCTATGGTACGCTCTCGTCGAGATACAAGGAAATGGAGCCGTAAATTTGCGTGGCCGGTGGGCCTGCACCACGCCTCTTTCCTGTCACGCCCCGGGTCTCGGCGACTAGAAATTGTGCTCCTACATAGTCAAAGACTCAAAGACACTGGCTCTCATACACGGTAGAATGATAGAAAAAGCAATGCTATGTACTTGATAGATCTCATGCATGTCAATTAATTCGTGCCTATCATGGCCAATCCCTTGCAGAAACGGCGGAGCTTGATGACGCCTCCCACGGGTGGCTTACAGCAGGAGCAAAAGGCAGAGTTCTAGACCCTTCCCTGCAATTATCTATAGCGGGGGATGTAAGACTCAAATAGAGGACTGAAAATTTCTTTAATTAGCGTCGTCCCTCATGGTCTAAGCATTTGCCTCCTGTACTGTACCATGGTCACTGCGCCCAAGCCCGACCTGGACCGCCAACTGGTCGTGGTGGCGTATAATATGGGCATAACTGTATAGGACATTTATGCAGAATAGTATAACCAATCAAGGGAACGGTGATGAACACCTCATCAAACTGCATACAAACGTCAATCAATACAATCTATGAGCGGCTCCTGGTCCAATTCGCTGAGAGTCGATACAAGCCCGTACTAGATCAAACTGGTGGTCATGTCGATCACAAAAGACTCGAATAAGGTACTGCACTTGCTGTTGCTCTACATGGTTACTTGGAACATGATATCACCCCGCATCATGTTGGATCCGCAGTTTGATGACTGATATCTAGTGAAAGCCATTCTATGTTCGCTTTCTGACTTGTCAGGTCTACATCGCTCGCCTACATGAGATGGGAATATATGGAAACTAGCGGCCAGTAGGAATTATCATCCCGAGGACCAAGTCAATGTCATCGATGGAGATGGGTTGATTCTCGGATTCTGAGTGACTCTTTTGACCGAGAGGCCCAATATAGCCTCAATTTACCACAGTCCATCTGTCCCGAATTAGCAACTCAGAATCGTAACCCAAATGCCTCCGTCCAACCCCTCCACCATCGCATCCATCTACAACGAACGAAGCACCGCCTACGACACCGCCACCTTCCACCACCATCTCGCAGAGGAATACATCCGCGCCGCAGCCCCCCAGCCAGGCGCACATGTCCTCGATCTCGCCTGCGGCACGGGGCTAGTGACCTTCCTCGCAGAGGCGCAGGTCGGACCAACGGGGTACGTCGTCGGCGTCGATATCAGCGAGGGGATGCTGGAGGTTGCGCGGGAAAAGGCACAGCGAACCGGGTCACGGGTTACCTTCCACCAGCATGATATTTCTGATTTAACTGATTTGGATTTGAATCGCGGAGGTGAAGGCAATGGCACAGGCCAGTTCGATCTGATCACCTGTGCGGCGGCGCTGGTGCTGCTCCCTGATCCGCTTGCAGCGATACGGTGCTGGGCGTCGCTGTTGAGGGAGGGCGGCAGGCTGGTTACGGATGTGGCGGCTAGGGATGTGCATGTCCCTGCGCGGATCTTTGAGCGGATTGGGCCGGAGTTGGGGCTGTCGTTGCTGTGGGATCAGAGCTGGGTGAAGGGTGAAGAGTCGTTGGCTGGGTTGTTGAGGGAGGCCGGGTTGGTGGTCGAGAGGGTGTATTTGAGTCCTGTCTTCCAGGTGAAGGAGTACAAGGTTGACCAGGCTGGGGAGCTGTTTGAGCAGGCGGTTTGGGGTCCTATGTTTAAGAATTTCGGGGTGGGGAGTGTCAGGGACAAGGCGAAGAGGTTGTTTGTCGAGAGGTTTGCCGAGGAAGCTGGGGAGGAGGGTGTGTTGGTGGATGAGGCCAAGATGTATATTGGTGTTGCGGTCAAGCGGTGACAATGATGCCAGCTGCTTGTTATCCATGAGTTTGAATGGTTACATGTTTGAGGTAAGCCCGTGCCTAGTTGTAAACTGCCACATCTTTACCACTCCACACCCAACATCTGCTCGCATACCCACCGTGCTGTCTGCGTATGGAGACTATAATACCCCTCATCCTCTTTCCCCTTGCCATCGACTTCGCACGTGGACGTAGACTTGCCAAGCGCCTCGAATATAACCAGCTGATCCCGCATATGCTCGTCCACACAGGGCTGATGACCCTCAGATGTACTCTGCAGGCCTGGGTCATACAACTCACGCACAAAGTCATCCACGCATCTCTCTACCAGTTCCAGAGCTATACTCCTATCATCTGTCGGTCGACCTTTTCGGCCGCCTGTCTTTCTCTGAGAATTCTGGTCCTGAGCGCCGAAAAGCGCATCTCGACCGAGCTTGAACCCATTCGATGTATGTGCCACGATGAGAATGTAAATATGTGGGCGGTGGTGCGTTCTTTCTGAGACGTGCAGATTGATAGGCACAATCTCGTCGTTTCCATATAGTCTGGCTGGTGGGCCTGCGCTTCCTTGTTTGACTATCGAGGACGGTATCCTTCGGAGTCGAGTGCGCAGCATCCGCATGGTTTCATACTCGATGAATTGGCGGATAGTCGTAGACTGAGATGTATCATCCGATGTTTGCGAATTCCCCTTCTTTCGATCTGTATGCTGATCAGATCCACCAAACAGGGAAGTATCCGGTGCCAAAACCGTGACATCGATTTGTGTGATCTTGCCCCGTGGGTATCCGTCTAGATCGACTCGCGGGAACCCATACGGAGACTCCTGATTCCTGCCCATTGGGTGAATGACGAACGTCATCTTCCCCAGACTGAACGGTCCGGTCGCCCATCCTCTCTTCTCCAGATGGACGGCGAGCGGTGGAAGCCCAACCCTGGCGAAATTCGGCACCAGGACCTGCGAGATGTAATCATACGACGGCGAAAAGGATACGTTCGTTCCTCCTGTGATGCTCATACGGACGGGCTGTGGTTCTGATTCTTCGTCGGATAAACAGCCCGCTGTATGGAGAAGATACGGATACAAAGCCTGAAAGACTAGTGATATAGATCCAGCCGTTGGTAAATGGATGTTAATCTCGCCGTTTTGTCGAACGCAGGTCTCTGCATTTGGTGGCGGATGATAGGTCAATGAAGACGATCCCACCTCGGCGCCTGAGACGGCACTCCCGCTGACGTCTGCCAGATATTTGATGGCAGCCAAGTGGGATGCTTTGAGACCCTTCTTGCCGGTGCGGTTGCCGCGAATATGGTCGATTGTGATGGGTCGGCCGGTGATGGTGGACAGGGCCAGCGCGATACGCACTAATTGACCTCCTCCTTCGAGAGTGCGGCCGTCAAGGTGAATTCTTTCTTGTCTGGTTGGAAATGACGACATATCTGGCTGTTGAGAGGACCTTGTGGGGTGCATTTATCATAACTGGTAGAGGAGATATTGTGTTGTCGAACGGGAGACAAAATATATACTCTCGTTTGGCGAATATATTCTACATGCTGCCTATATCTTTCAAGTGATTCTAACCGTTTACGGGTCGGTGGCTACTGTATATATATGTGACTCACGGTCAGGCTGACTCAATTAGTGACGCATCGGCAGGGGTCGAGGATTCATCCGTGGACCGAATAATGAACTTCTTCTGAGCTACCCTGGCATCCCAAATGCGTCCACTCGGTGAGATAGGCAGTCATGTTCGAAAAGGTACTGCTGCGCTGAATTACACCTACTTACTAAAGTAATAGAAGAATATTAGCCTAGAGTAATACTATAGGGATCACTTTATTCTTACTTCACATCTATATTAGTTAATGAATACTTATAATTTCTTTCCTAGCTATTTGAAGGTGCACTTAATCTGATTTAGAAGCACCTGAATGTATAGCACGGCCAGCATGTTACTTATCTTAGTTAACTGATTCTGTGGGACGTTATGGGAACTTCTGCAAAGGCATGCCATATTTATCTGAAGAGTGGGACCTCCTAAGTTAAGAAGAGATGAGAAATGACCTTAGTCTGAGGTAATAAAGTTATAGACCAGTTTCTGGGCATTCAAAGTATTCTGGAGTTCGACCCTCAAGAACAGAGCGCTTTAACATGGTATGCCTGCCCGCCTTTTGATCTTGTACTGTATATAGTTGTAGAACAATAAAGTCGTAGATGTGGCCCACCGCCATGTTTTGCTTGGCACGTTATTCAAGAAGCAGCAGGCGGGTGGACAACGGAGCCATCAATACGTTGTCTGGTTCCTTTCCCATAATTGAAGTGGTAGTACAATGAGCAACCAAATACGAATCGAGCGAAGACCATGCATAAGCCACAAGCTGCTTACTCAAAAAATAGATATACCTTTGTTCAGCACATTTCATGCAAAATATCCTTGCTCAAGCCGATACTGTTTTACTACCTTCAGCGTACTTTTTCTCGAGAATGCCGAAATGTGAGATGCCATAGAAGAAGTCCAAATACAGGTCAATCGTTCTCAGTCAGCAGATAGTCTTTCCAACACTTGTTGACCCTTTTCATCCAAGTTCGGGAACTTTCGTAACTGACGAAGATCCATCCAGAAGTCCTTCGCATCACGATGTCCGTCACCATGTGCCTCCATACGTTGTTGTAGCAACTTTTTCCACTCAGCATCATCCTCAGTCCATCCCCAAGAAGCCGAGACGTATTCATACCATACAGGGTAGTAGGCGGCAAATTCCCAATCAAGTATTCCGACCAACGCCCCGTCTCTAACAATAAGGTTGCCCAAATTAAGATCACAGTGGGTGAGAACATAGGGTTCACACTTAGGCATACGCTTCTTCAAATTCTCCAACACTCGCTGAGGGAAAGACTTTGCTGGTGGATGATGGAGCGTAATAGTAATCGCATTCCAAAGTTCGAGGTCAGAGTGGAAAGGTCCGTGGGGCGCACGGTCAGGAAAGAGTAGCGCTGGCTCACATGGGCCTTGATCAACTGTTTGTATTGACTCCGATGTGAGGGACCGTAGCTTCTTGCGGATTTGGACAACTTGGTCTGCGATAGCTGTCTTCTGGGACTCTGATAGTGTAGGCCACGCTTGTTCAAGTGTTTGTCCCTTTATTCGTTCTTGGAGCACAAAATACCGCCCGTCGCTATCAACCCAGTCACGTATAAGCTTTGGAGCAGGGATATCAGGGTACTTGGAAATGTGATTCAGCGTTTTCACTTCGTTTTTTGGGCCCTTATCAGGGCGCTCTTTCAGGATCACATCTGACCCGATTGACCAGACTCCGCGTCGGCTCGCGCCATAGAAGAGTTTGACATGGCTCGAATAAAAGCATTGCTCCTGCTGTTCCAATGTCCAACCACAGGCAACACAGCCCTGGGCCGGGTCCTCCTCCATAATGAAAATGGGCGAAGAAGAGGGTGAAGTCGCTCTGTCTGCTCAGACGGGGTCAATGTTTGCGAATTTAAGGGACAGCTCACCGCTCACGTGAGGCTCCTTAATCAGGATTAAACACATGGCAGACAGACATTTTAGAAATGCATAATCCCGAAAAGGGGACCTATCAGTTATTGGCCTGATGTCGTGCTGCAGTGTATCCTTTGAATTGACGGGGAAGGAGCTTTTGTGAAAATAATATACCACTAAGCTAAAAAGGCGTCCGGACTATATCCTCATCAGTATAGAGTTATATATAGTCATGTATCTTGAAATCAAGCAGTAATCTATTTTCTAACAGCTTTGTACACCGCTCCAGAAACCACGAATCCACAAGTTATGAAACTCTCTAGTTATACATGTTTGCAGAAGTTTTGCCCGAACTAGAGCACAACCAAACTCTGAAGGCGGGGAAGGCTGTCTACTAGAGAGGGTACAGCAGACTATAGCTATAATATGGACTTTTAGTATTTTTATAATGATTATATGCCACTACTCCCACACTCCCTATGGTCACACACACTGCACTATCCCTAGTATAGTAAAATCAAAATATCTTATGGACTACTGCTTGCAACTAGAGCAAAGGTAGTAAGTAGATATTTAACTAAAAAGCTTTAATTCTTAACTAAATACTAGGTGGTCTAGTTAGATAAGCCTAGTAGATATCTAGGTATATAGTAGATGATTAAATAAATCCTTATTACTATCATATATGTTGTATACTTATGGTAAAACTATATACTAATATAACACCTATAGAGGTACATAGATATCTATACTTTTTTATATAGTACTAAAGGTATCTAGTAGTTAGATCTTAGTACTAAGGATCTAGGTTTAGAATAGAAAAAGATTTTCTTTATTAGTAATAGCTAGAAATAAACCTGTGACCTCTGGATAATAGATTTTTTTTAATTTTAGGCATAACCTAGTATATTTAGTAGTAGGTTTCTATAGGGGTACCTTACTATTAATAGTTCCTAGACCTTATCATGCCTGAATATATTGCCTAGGTGTAGTAAGGCTATATATCTATAAAAAATAAAGAAATCTAAATATAGAGGATGCTTATAAGATAGTAAAGAATATACTACTTAATATAGTACTTAAGAGTTCTATCCTAAGTACTTAATACTATAGCCCTTAGAGTACTATCTTCTTTCTCTACTTAAGTTAACTAGCTTTTATAAGATTCTTTATTACCTTTAAAGCATAGGAGCTAGCTATATTATAAAGGCTATCCTAGTCTTTAAGGGTATCTACTAGGTAATCTATTCTATACTTATAAGCTAGCCTCTTACTCTTATTAAGCTAACTAATATCTTAACTAATCATTATACTAAGATTATAATCTTATTATTAATATTAATATATCTAATACCTACTTCTAGATATAGACCTCTTTTATAGGCACTACTATAGTAGTACTTAATTACTAGAATTATTAGTACCTAATACACCTTCTTAAGCCTATTACTAATAGCTATAGTAATATTACTAAGTTAACTAGCTTTTATAAGATTTACTATTACCTTTATAAGCTTAGAGTCTAGCTATATTATAAAGGCTATCCTTATCTTAGTATTAATTTTATTATTAAGGGCTTACTTAATATAAACACCTAGTAATATACTATTAAAATTAAAGATAAAGTTACTAGAAAAACTAAGAAAATAAGTATAGAGACCTACTTTAAGAAGAAGTATAATCTAATCTTAAACTACTAGKAGCTTCCTATAATTAAGATAATTAAGAAAGGTATTATCTACCTAATAAAAGTCTTAACTATTTATAGACTTTACTAATACCTATAGAAGTTAAATAAGTATTAGACTTTATATATAATTAAGTATATATACTATTAAAATTAAAGATAAAGCTACTAGAAAAACTAAGAAAATAAGTATAGAGACCTACTTTAAGAAGAAATATAATCTAATCTTAAACTACTAGGAGCTTCCTATAGTTAAGATAACTAAGTAAGATATTATCTACCTAATAGAAGTCTTAACTATCTATAGACTCTACTAATATCTATAGAAGTCTTAATTATCTATAGACTCTACTAATATCTAGGAAGTCTTAACCATCTATAGACTCTACTAATATCTATAAAAGTCTTAACTATCTATAGACTCTACTAATACCTATAGAAGTTAAATAAGTATTAGACTTTATATATAATTAAGTATACTATATCTTATCCTATAGATTAACTTAATTCTATTTATAAGTTAAAGGTAATGCTTAACTATATAAAAGACCTAATCCTAAATACTTTTAGTCTTATAATTAATAGTAATATAATTTATACTAAGGCTTATCTCTTACCTAGCCCCTATATTTAGTTTAATAGAAATTAGTATAACCTTAATCTCCTAATAGCTAGCATGCTTTCTGGTAGATTTAGCTACTATAATTATATAATTAGATTATAATATTAATTACTATATATTAGGTTAAGACTAACTTATATATAAACTCTCTAATAAGAAAGAAATCTATAGCCTCCTATATCACCTAGAAGGTGAGCTTATGAATTCTTAGATAAGGATAACTAAGATTATAGTAAACCTATCTTACTAGTTACTAGAACAGAGGCTTATATATTAGAAGACTTAAGCTAATAGGGTTCCTCTTAACTTAACTAATTATCTATATTTAGGTTTATTTATTTATCTTATTACTAAGGGTCATTACTGGAGGGTTAAACCATCTAAATATTAAATATTAGTCATATATAATCATATATATACTATAGTATATAGTCTACTAAGGCCTCAGCCCTCAGGCACCCCTTTATAAATAGAGACCTGAATCCATACTACAGAGGGTAAAGGCAGCATAAATCTATAACTATAGGAAGAATAAGGATAAAAGATAAAGCCTAGCTAATTAGAAGATAGGATAGTAATATTTCTAAATAATAATAAAAATTAATTATATGGCTGCGTACTAATTAATGTAA